ACTTTGGCAAAAAGGTTATCACATGTTCTTCCTGGGTATTTGGCGAGTGTGTGTGGCACCAACACACCCACTTGCTGGACGACTGTACGACTCAAAGTTACCCCTTACCAAGAGATACTCCGTGCCGTATGTGGATCTGTACCAGATGAAAAAAGGTAACCATGGTTTTTGGGATATTCAGGAACTCGTGGGCATCAATGGACGCTTTCTTCCAGCAGATAGAGTAGAGCCTTTTTCTCAAATCACGGTCAACGGAATGCCATTCGATACGGTGCGTGACCCCCACTTCTTCTTGAAAGAAGCATACGGGCCGGACTACATGACGCCGATACCACGGAAGGCGTAGAAAACACCAATAGAGCGCTAGATATGTAATATACATTGTTTTTAAACAGGGTGGGAGTTTTACTGTAGTTACTTTAGTTCCTGGCTTCGGGAAAACGATAATGCTTATGGTGGCCCTAACATGTAAAAGCCTTCGCCTCTGATTGAGTACTTAATCCTGGATACAGCCAACAGTACTCCTCACTGTCACTTGCCGCATGTAACCAGAATGGAAACTTGAACGCTAAAGAATTCGTAATTCAGCAACTATGATGTAAATGCGTTAGCATAATTAGGATCACCATTGGTATGTGAATAAGGGCCGCACAAATTGACGATCGAGGCTTGAAAATCCAGTTGCCGGCATTTGCCAATTCACCTCGGAGGTAACGTCCCCTTACAGTATTATAGAAATGCATCAAGCCTGTTCTTTGGCGCAAGATGGGAACGACGTGGAAAGTTTTGCTGCACCAACTCAGAGTCCGATCGCTGCGGTCGATCATGTTCATTTTGTGCTCCTTGCAGCGTGACGTACAACTTGCGTGAAAAATATATAAAAAAAAATCAACGACACGCCAAGCCTCTTCACAAAGGGCTACATGATGTACTTGTATTAAATGCACCTTGTTGGCGATCGAATTCCGGCTCCAGCTACATGTACAGTATAAGAGAGGAAGTAGCAACCGAATTGTTCTGCTGGCAGGTTTACGTTTAAGTGTTTCATGATCACCGAAAAATTAACATAATCAAACGCCCTAACACACCGAACAGAAAAAATGGGACCGTCTCAGGGGTTCACACGCGGGCGCTGTACGGTACATGTATTGGATGTGCTGCAGAAGCTCTCACTCTTTATCGTACTCCTTCATTAAACGTTCTTGCTGCAGCTCAACAAGACTTGATAGAGATGGAGACACAGAACGAGGAAGGCGTCCTAATCGACAAGCACCATTCTCATCATCGCGTTGGTGTTGCTCGTGGATGCCGAGATTTCTGGACTGGAGTGACTGTGATCCCAACTTTTGTGCTAGTGCTGCTCGGTCTACTCGTGTTTGGTCTCGCCATGGAGACGCATATTATCTCGTGCATGCCGCCAGTTGCTGTTCTAAACGAGGAAGAGGTTTGTGCTCCTCAAGTCCTGAATGCCAGCACCATCGAGTATCATTCCGGTCACCGATACTACTCAGCGTTGAAAGAGATGGATCCACCCATCGCCCCAACTTTTCGCGGAAAGCACACTGAGTTATGCGATGAAGAAGCGAGGACAAAGTCGAAGTACAGCTACTGCTTGCCGATCTCCGGTCGGAAGGACACGCCGTTCTGCACGGCTGGAGATCGCACGGACCTGCTCAATATTCGGTCTCCTAAGTCTGTTTGTTACGCAAGTGTACTGCACATGTTGATGGTCGAAGTCTACGAAGAGCTCAAGGCGTCGGGGAACATTCCACTCATCACATTCGGCTCGTTATTAGGAGCTGTACGCAACGGATCGATGATCCCGTTCACAGAAGACACAGACATTGGATTCGTGAACCAACTCAACTCGAAAGAAGTATTGAGGCACGAGTTGTGGCAGAAGGGTTATCACATGTTCTTCCTGGACATTTGGCGAGTGTGCCTGGCTCCGAATCACCCGCTAGCCCCTCGTCTCTATGACCCGAGCTTGCCGCTGACCAAGAACTTTGCTGTGCCGTACGTCGATCTATACCAGATGGGGAAACTCAGCAATGGCTACTGGGACATCCAAGAGCTCCAAGGCAGCAATGGTCGGTGGATACCGTTCGACAAGGTAGAACCGTTCACGCAAGTGACGATCAACGGGATGCCGTTCGACACCGTTCATGATCCTCATTTCTTTTTACGAGAGGCGTACGGATCGGATTACATGACACCCAAGCAACGACTACCCCCTCCGGTACAACAAGTCACCAACAAACTAAGAGAAGCAGCCATGAGACTCACAAAAGGTGCAACACCATAAACCAAATATTTGAAAAGGTACCACATCAATAGTACACGAATTCATTTGTATTTTCAACTTGGAATCTTTCACGTTGACGTATTGCTATTATACCTTGCCGGACAGAATGCCCTAGCCAGCAAGGAATGATAAGCACCGTACTCTACATAGCTTTTGTCTACCGGTGGTATGTATTACAGTCATGGTAGGCGTGGTTCGAGCAGAATTCTGGGACGAGAATTCAGCCATGACCAGATGGAGACGTCTCTGACACACACGTGTACACGACGGCTGGTGTCGCCCCGCATCCATTCGTCCCATCGTCTCATTTTCTCATTTACTCCTCGCA